GCTGACTTCCTCCTCACCTGGGAGATACTACTGACAGATATTGAGGTCCTGATCATCCAGTATTCTCCACTGAAGCTTCAGATGGTATGAATGAATAGATTCATTACTCCAGTGCATCTACAAGCGTTCATATCGCCAGAAAATCTTGCTCTCTAGTTTCACCTGACTTTATTAATAATAGACTGGATTTAATCTACTCTGTGATTGTTTGTTGGTTTATTTTTGTTTTGGTTTGTTGTTTTGTGTTTTTTTTTTTTTTTTTTTTTTTTTATATGAGCTATGACCTTCATGGTCCTGGTAAGTCATGAAGGCAGCAGTTAACTGACCAAAACATTACTGCCCTTATTCTCTATCTTTCCCCTTTCATGTCTCATTTTATTCCTTTATTTTCTTTCTTCCCATTCAAAATTGTCCATTTGCCATGATTTCCTACCCAAAGCTTTTCAGTGGACTGCCTTTTAATACTACTAACCATCAAAAACCAAGAGCAGACTCAAAACACCAGAGGCTGGTCTTAAAGGAGGAGTGAGATTGACCAAAAAAATCACACACGAAAACACGTCTCTTTCTAACCCAAATTAGAGATATTGCAACACTACCAGCTTGGTATTTTTATACCCATTTTACAGAAGGGCAAAGTGATGCAGAGAAAAGATATGGAGACTCAACTACTATCCCGAAATGGATTTAAGCATGTGTTTGCTTGGTTCAAATGAAGGTTCAAACTCCCTGTCAGGCCACCGTCTGCCAGAAGTATGCAATCTCCTCATCTGGACGTAGAATATCTCCAAGAGTTTAGGTACGTGGTAGCCAAACAGCTGTTAATAGGTGCATATTCCATTCACCATTATAGGTATTTTACCACATTTTTAAAAAACATTTTGTCTGTGTTCATCAGGATAGTTCAGCCACTGTCTGTAGTAGATTTGGAACTGAAAACAAAGGCCTATAAGCTAGAAAAAAGAGACTAGCAATTCACAGAACACACTGTCTTAATTTTGCTCGCCTTATAGTCACTTCTCAGGAAAAAATAAATAAATAAAAGTCTTCAATCTGTTTGTTGTTTCAGTTCATTTTAGGGTGACATAAACAGCTTTCAGTTCTTTACATTCTGCACAAGCCTCCAGAAATATTCAGTGTTTACTAGAGCTCGGTGGTGTTAAATCAAGTATGACTATCACCCTTTAAGGCCTAAATGATGGAGCGATATCCATACCAATAACACATTTTGACAGTGTTGACACCTTCTTACATAAAAGCAGTTTACTCACTCTTATAAACCTGTAGAAAAGGACATTAAAACTTAGTAGGAAATGTAGGAATTAACTGTTATTTTCAAAAGTTGGTGTTTTCATTCATCGTATCCAGCCTCTTGAGGAGCTGTGTGGTATATTCTACAGTGTATCTCATAAAAGACAAGTAGCTGGATGGAGAAATTGGTTAAATCACTCTCTGTCATCATTTTGGCTGTGTAACTGGAAATGGCTATGTAACTGGAAATGGATAGGAAATTATACTAGCTAACTCTAAAGTGAGAACAACCCCGAAATAAACTCAGCAACTAGTGAGAGCCAAGAACAGCTTATTAATTCTTTCTGATCACCTAAAAACTTTCACAGAATTCAAATGTGACCAAAACTTTGTGAAAGCTGGGTATTTTTCTTCTGATAATGGATGTTAGAAGCAGACTCATTGAATGTTGTAGCAGCTGTGGTTGTTCGGGTTTGGGGCGGGGGGGGGGGGGGGGGGGGGGGGGCGCGGGTAAAAAAGCAGGGGAAAAAAACAACATTGCACCTGTGGAGTAGAAAAAAATGTGTCCCTGGTGAAAAAAAAAAAAAAAAAAAAGTCTACATTTACTTGATCAGCCCTTGCTTCTTTGTTGAGTTCTCAGCTTGACAATTGAGCAACAACCCCCTACCACCCTCTGCTAAATGCCAGACGCCGTAGATCAGAGGAAATGTGGGAGCTGACCAAATCCCGGCGCTTCGCCTTCCCATGGGAGGCTTTCGGTTTCCCACCCTCCCTTCCAAGGAGGGCTCTGAGGATGTGCCGTCCCGGGAAGCCACCCGGGCTGCCCGGGGAGGGGCGGCCGGGGCGGGCGGTGGCGGGAGCTGTCCCTTCAGCACCACGGGCGGTGGCGGGAGCTGTCCCTTCAGCACCACGGGCCGCGGCTCTGCCGGGCCACCGAGCGCGCCGGCTCCCGGTCCCGGGCCAGCCAGCGACGCCTTTCACAGAATTACCAGCCACCGTCAATTAAATCAACACAGCGAATCGGTAATCGCTTCAGACATGTTGCTAGCACGGCAATATCCCGGAGAGCGATCGAGTTAGACGTTAGTCTGCTCTCATCCGCGTATCACTAGACTTCGTGGCCCGCAGATTCCTATCGCGCTTCTCTGAAAGAGAAGTTTTGTGGAGATAGATGCACTCCTCTAGATTAGGCAATGAAGGTTTTTATTCAGTCTGTTTCAAAAACCAGCTTGCCATGGTTAGCTGGATGCACTTTTGCAGGAGCACCAGCTGACTACAGAGCGTTCACTAATACATAGGACACTGAATGTGCTTCTTGAAGTCTTGTCTGGAAGGTTTCAGAGGGAGGAGGACATGTATGTGAGAGTGTATATACAGTCATATTAAAAATAAGAACCAGCACAGAAGATGAATATAATCATTTAAGACCACTGACCTGCACAGGAAACATAGAGAAGAAACCTTCTCTTTTTGTCCTGAGAACTTAAACATGGAAAGCAATTTTTTCCCCTCTGTGAACCAAATTATTTTAGGATAAGTAAGAAATTAAAGAAAAACATTCCATGCTTACTTTTACAGACTACCAGTAGATCAGATAACATCACAAAGCTGCGTTAGTACTGAAGAGATGATAAGCAAAATAGAAGTGCATTTGACAAGATGCAGATAGTAACTGTGAATAAACTTTGGAAAGACAGATCACATATTCTCCAGGAGCAGAGTTTCCCAAATGAACAATCATTAAAGAATACCTGTCTTTCTGCACCATTCTTTATTATCACTCTTCCTCCCAGTGGCTCCCCATTGCTATACACATTTTTAGTTTAAACAACTCAGACACCCCAAAGAGCACCTCTGCCTACATAAATTCATGCTATACTCTGCACGCTGAGGTGCTCTGAGTTTGCCAAACAAATCCCAGCTCTTTGCAGGAGAAAATGCTAAAGCTTCCCAAGGAAGTTGTACATGTTTCTAGGTAAAATACGATCAAAACAGTGAACTACTCTACCAACAGCTCTCTCTGCCTGTCACCGACTGAGCTTAAGAACACAGAAAGTATTGCAGCCACCTCTTAGGCGGGAGTATAGGGCACTGTGAATATACAGGCGTGTGCGTGTGTGTGGAAGCCTTGTTGTTATCCAGAGGGGCACATCAGTCCAATATTCACTTAGCACAAATAAATGACGAGACAGATCAAGGAAGAAAGAATCAGTGACCAGATGAGGAAGGAGAGTTCTGACATGGCAATGAACAGCAGGAAATCTAAGTCATCAGCCAAAGTTACATTCTACTTTATATTCTATAGCCTATTACCATACATGCATTTTATATAAGTATATCTTATAACAGAAAAGGAAATTATTCCTTAAGAATCTTATCTTTGTAAGGGCAAATAGGCTTTATGCTGTCAGATGGTCTTTCAAAGGAAATTTTTTACTGCCCCGGGTATAATGTTGTCAAATACAAACATAACTAGACACTGCTCAAAGGGCAGTGGACAGCACGTCCTGCTGAAAACTGTCAGTATCTTCAGATGGCAATGTGCAAATTTCTTGTAACAAGCCCTAAATGGTAAAAAAGATCAAGTCCTTCTGTATTAATAAGAGAACTAGTCTTTTGTGTCCTGTTCAATATAATGCACTATCAAACAGCCACTGAGCTAGAAAGGTCTTTTCAGATCCCCCCAGATGTTAGGGGGGAACATCTATAAATGCTGGGAGAAGAACGTTAGCAACTGCCTCAGTAAATCCACCCTAACGAATACAAAACCCAGAAAAACAAACCTGCTCATCAAGCCAAAGCCAGAATTGTGGCACAGTTCTGTGTGCACTCTGCAGCCTCTAGTTATCGTGGTATTTATTTTTACAGCAGGGAAGCAAACTTTATGCAAAACGCTCCGCTTTAGCTGCAGGAAGTGGAGAAGTACAAAATGACAGCCTGGGGCTGTGTCCATTTACTGTCCCTCGACCTTCCTGGGAAATGGCACGTCTGGGAAGCTGGGCAGCACAGACTGACAATGGGTATGGTTTTGCCTGTTTGACCATGTGCCCACAAAGAGAAGACTCAGATTATGACCTGTTGGCACATCAGACACTCCAGCTGCAACAAAAACTTCAGGAACACATTGGGAATGCCCAGGAGAGGCCCAGCGGTGGGACCACCTATGTGGGAACCCTCCACCACAACCCTTGCCAACACCAAGACAAAGTTTGCGAAAGCAGGGCTACGCTTGGCTACACCAAGGGCTTTCCCAGCTGATCCAGTTCCCATGCCCTCATCATTTTCATCTTCATCCAGCTGCCTTTCACCTAAGTTTTCCCCATGCCTCTTAAGCAAAGGTGCAAGGAGAAATGTGGCAACAGGGCCTCCTCCTTCCTGACGGGATCCCCAGGAGTGTGTCACCCTACCTCTTCCCCCGTCCTCCTTGCCACCCAAGCCACAGCTCGACGGTAACCACCTGGCCAGAACCATTCCCCCCACCAGGCCAGCCCCACTCCTCTCCAGTCCCACCCAGAGGACGCACACCTCGTCTCCAGGGGAAGAGGTGCGGGACACTGCCAAGTCCAACAAGTGCCAGTGAAGAGCAAGGAATTACATAACGTGGGAGAGAAGACAAAAAACTCATCTGACTCCTAATCCTTTGCACGGCATGGCCCCTCCTGCCCCTCTCCCTTTCTCTCATTCAGGGGAGCTTTTACCCCAACTCTGGCCCTGGCCCCAGAGGGTCTCCCCCAAGGTGAGCCACTCACCGATGGTTGTGATGACTGTGATGGCAAAGTAGAAGGAGCCGGCGAATTTCCACTGGACGCCGGCCCGGTGCGGCTCGGACTGCATGATCACCAACTCCAGCTGCCGGTAGTCCTCGCTGGTGATGTTGTACTTTCCTTTCAGCCGGATCTCCTCGGCTTTGAGTTTCTCCTCCTCCCGCATCTCGTTGTCGGACTCCAGGGCATCAAAGACGGCAGCCCCGACCAGCAGGTAGGTGAACGTGCAGATAATGAGGGACAGGGTCCGCACGTTCTGCCTCTTCATGGCCGCCAGCAAGGGACGAGTGAGGGGACCATGTCCCCCCCTGGCCGCCCGGGGATCCGACAGGCCGCAGCAGCCGCAGCAGGGGGGCAGCTGCCGGGGGGGCTGGCGGCTGCCGCCGCTCCGGGGCAGCTTGTGCGGCGGCGGCGGCCGCTCTCCGCCCGCCTGCTCGGGCTCCTGGGAGGAGAGGCACAGCAGGCTGCTGGAGCGCCGGGACCAGGTGCCTTGGAGTCGGGAAACTCTGCGCAGGACCTGCCCAAACCAAGCCGTCCCAGTGCGCAGGGCCATTCAGGGCACCCCCCCCCCGCTCCTCCCCAGCACCGAGGCCAGGGGCAGGGGGTCCCCGCCGCGGGAAGGGAGGGGGGGGGAGCTGCCGGGCGGCGGAGTCCTGCGGCGGGTGGGTTTCCCCCCCCCCCCGCGTAGCTGGAGCGGGGAAGGGGCCCCCGCAGCCCGGGCGGGGCGCGGCGGAGAGGCGGGGGCCGCCGCCGCCGTCCCAAGTTTCTTCAGGCGGCGCGGCGGGGCCGGGGGGGGCCGGGCGGCGGCAACGCTCCCATCCGCGGGAGGTGATGGAGAAAAGGGGGGGGGGGGGGGGGGGGGAGAGGTCCGCGAAGGGAGCGAGGGGCGGTGGGTGTCCGGGCGGGGGTGGCCCGACCCGCCCCGGCCCCGGCTGCCTGGGGAAGGGCCGGCCGGGCGGGTCGGGACGGGCTGGGCGCTTTATTCCTTCCGCCGCGGTGCGAAGCGAGCGGCGGGGAGCCGGGTTGCTGCAGGTGGCCGCGGCGCGGGGAGCGGAGCGGCGTCCGGTTCGGCGGCGGCGGCGGTGTCAGGCGGCGGGCGGGGAGTTGGGGGCAGCATCCCCGGGCGCGGCGGGCCGAACTGCCGCTCCGGCGGGAAGCGGGGGAGCCGGGCAGCCGGCGTGGCCCCGGCGGCGGGGAGCCAGCGCCCTTTCCTCCCGCCCCGGCCCCCGGGGGAGGGCAGCGAGGAGGCGCCCGCCGGGAGAGCCGGCAGCCGCGGAGCACCTGCCCGGGGCGGGACGGCGGCGGGCGCTGCCTCCGGTCTCGGGTTTGTGCCGGGAGGAGCGGAAAAAAAAAAAAAAAAAAAAAAAAAAAAAAAGCCGGCGGCTTCCCCGGGGAGAGAGAGCGGCGCGGGGAGGGCGGACACAAAGCCAGAGATGAGGAGAAAATTTAAGGGGAAAAAAAAAAAAAAAAAAAAAAGGAGGAAAAAAAAAAAAAAAAAAAAAAAGCTACTTTCACGGCTGTTCCCCCGGCGCTCGGGGCTGCTTTATTTAGGATGATTTTAGAACAAAGCCGTTAAGAAAAAGAGCAACCGTCCTCCTCCTCCTCCTCCTTCTCCCAAGCTCTTGACATCATCTCGGGGAAAACCGAGCCCGCGCCCCGCTCAGCCATCGCCTGCGCGTGTGTGTGTGAGTGTGAGTGCCGGTGCCCGCTCCGGCGCTGGCAGGGGAGGCGGGCGCTCGCCCCGGCCCGCCGCGGGGAGCGGGTTAACCCCCTCGGCGCCGCCCTGCCAGGGAGAAGCGGCGGAGCTCCCACTCCCCCCCGCCCCGCGGCTCTTTCCCGCCTCCCCCGGCCTTGGCCACGCCCCGGGGCCGCCTTAGGGGGCGTGGCCGGGCTCGGGGCGGTCCCTCGGGGACAGCGCGGGACGGGGCGGGGCGGGGCGGGTGCAGCGCGCGCCGGCCGTTCCCGCCCTCGAGCCCGAGCAGGGGGCGCGCGGCGCCCGCCCGGGGTCTGGTCGCGGGCGGCGGGCTGCCTCGCGCACCGCAGATCCATGCAGCAGAGACCCACAGCCCACAGCTACACACACACACCCCACAGCTACACACACACCCCCCACAGCTACACACACCCCCCCCACAGCTACACCCCCCACAGCTACACACACACCCCACAGCTACACACACACCCCCCACAGCTACACACACACCCCCCACAGCTACACACACCCCCCCCACAGCTACACACACCCCCTCCACAGCTACACACACCCCCTCCACAGCTACACCGCCCACAGCTACACACACACCCCCCACAGCTACACCCCCCCACAGCTACACACACACCCCCCACAGCTACACACACCCCCCACAGCTACACACACCCACCCCACAGCTACACACACCCCACACAGCTACACACACACCCCACAGCTACACACACCCACCCCACAGCTACACACACCCCACAGCTACACACACCCCCTATACACCTACACACACACCCCCCACACCTACACACACACACTCCACAGCTACACACACCCCACAGCTACACACACACCCCCCACAGCTACACACACACACCCTCCACAGCCCGCATGCCCACAAAGAGCCCACACATCACAGCCACACACGCACACCACAGCTACACACATACACCACAGCCCCACACACTCCCCATGGCTACACACACCACAGCCGCACACACACCCCACAGCTACATACACCACATCTCCACACACACCCCACAGCCCCCACGCCCACAAACAGCCCCACACACCACAGCCCCACACACCGCAGCTTCACATCATGTCCTCACCACTCCACACACACACAGCTCCACGCACACACACTGACCTCCACACACCACAGCTCCCCGGAACACAGCCCCATGCACTGCCGCCCCACGGGACCGGTCCCTGGCCAAACACACCACAGCACCGTGCACACCCCAGCCCGCCACACAGCCGCACACGTACTGCACAACCACACCCACAGCCCTCCACACGCTGCCCCACACACACACGCCACACCGCCCCTTCGCCAACCCCAGCACAACCTCCCAGCGCACCGGCACACACTTACGGATCCTCACACGCAACGCACGTGCAGGTGGTGCCGTGTTCCCTATGGATCTGAGGAGCCAGCCCAGCCCCACACAGCCCAGCCCCAGCCCCATCGCTCCCAAGCCACCACCCTGCCATGGGGGGGGGGCTGCAGTCCCCCTCGTCAGCCCCGCTGCGAGCCTGAGGCTTCAGGCCAGAGCCCCAGCTCCTCCTGGCACACCTCTCTCCCACATCACCAGCCGATTTTCAGCAGCGGGAGTTACCGCAGAAGCCTGGGACTGCTTTTATGTACACCCTGAGACAAGGCTGTCCCTTCTGGTGTCACCTTGCCCATGGTAACTCTAGGCCTCCTCCTGCGTTGGAGCTGGAATTTTCAACCTTACCCCGTGCTTCTGACTTTTTTGAGCCTTGGGTGGCACTCCCTCATTTCAGGTCCTTCTCAAACCCTAGGAACCCGGGGTTCATTACTGTCATCCTCCATCCCTAAAAGCAGCTGCATCTATCTCACTCCTAATTACGCATTGTTCAAGGCCTTTGGATGCCCTTCCCGAGATACAAGTGAGCAGTGGGTACCCAGTGCCTTGCAAATTGATGAAATCTGCATGTTGAAAACGCAGTCTCTGAGACTGAAGCCCTCTGAAAGGTGCACCTCAGGCTGAACAGACATACAAGTCCCAAAGCCCTTTGTGAAACTCTTGGATGCAGGGAGGAGGAGGAATTCATTTCATTAATTCAGCAAACAAGATTTCATCTAGGGCAAATTCTGTATCACATCACCTGAGCATTACCAGAATCATTACAGCACCACATAGAGCAGAAAAGTCTCGCTGGCCAAAGGAAGCCTATATATAACAGCAATAGGGGGAAGGAGGGGAAAGGAGAAAAGAGGAAATATCTGGTTTTGATCAACTTCTTAAAAATGGAAGTCTGATTACCGTTGCCCATTTCTGATTCCCCAAGGGAGAGCAGGAGAAGAAGAATGATCTATAAATAGTTTGCAACACAGAGAAACCTATAGCCAAGTTGCTGGGAAAGATCAATAGCGTGATTCAAGGAGGGCTCCAAATTACATCTCAGGGGAGGGAGGTGCTGAACAGAATTGATAAATGAGTTGCAAATGCTGTGTGTGTTGTGTGTATCTAATTAACAGAGGGTGACTGGGATCAATAGCAACGAAGGAGCTGGTCTAAAAATAGCATTCAGGCAGGGATTGCAACCTGCGGGCAACAGCTTCGATGGAAATGTCCCCTGGAGTAATTAACCTTTAGCTGGAAAATGGTGGTTAGCATGGGGTCAAAGCAGGGCCTGTGGGCAGCTGGGAATGGATGAGGTCTCCATGGGACTCCAGGGTGTAGAGTGATGTTACAGTCATGGAGGGAACAGGCACGGCCATGAGCTCGTAGCCTTCCTCTGAGCAGGCTGCAGTGTCAAGCTGAGGATTGGTGGTGTGCTTTCTGGAAAAAATATCTGCGTATTAGCATTTTTCTGGGGTTGTGGAATGGGAAATATTTGTATTTCTGTGTACTTGCAAAGGTTTCAGTATTGCTTAGAGAAAAGTCACCATCATTTTTTAAACATCTATTTACATCTACAAGAATTCGGGATTTTCTTCTTTTTTGATGACCTTGTTGCTGAGAAAGTATCCACCTCTCGGAGGACCATCCAGACTCACCACCAGAAGTCCATATTTGAATCGCAGAGCAAATAATGTCTAAAGAGAAGTGTCCTTCAATCCTTTCATCTACAGCAGAGCAGTCAGGCAATCTTCAGGGAGAAGGGTTAGCGTTGGACAGGATGATCTATGGCTCAGCTCAGAGGCTTTGCTGGAGTGCCAGGCTGAGACGGCATCACCCAAGGGAGAGGAAGAGACACACCCAGGAACAGAAAGTTCACTGTTAGCCTGACTGCAGGATTGGGACCCGGGGTGTATGACATAAAGAAAAGGAAACTGTAAAGATGAGAATCAAGAAAATATCTCTTTGTAAAGCTGGAATGGAAAGAATCAGAGTGGTAAGGGTTAAATGAAGAGCTTTCTCTCTTTAATATAGATGGAAGTGACTAAAAAATCTTTCCTGGCCAAAAGTTATCTCCATAAGGTAGAAAAAAATAAGTCTTTTATTCTGGTGCAGACAGAGCTACTGAAGGAGCAAAACTTGTTTAGTCACCAAGAGGAAGGTTAACTCGAAGTGTTAACACATATCTTAGCACCTCTTGGTTTAGTCTAACTTGAGGGAGAGCGAACAGGCTGGAAGATAGCCCCGAGCTGTGTAGTGGTTGCCCTGACTGCTGACAGCTGTGCTAACCTGATGTTTCACCTACTCTCCCCACAAAAAGTCAACGGGAGTTAGAAGTCTCCCACGTTCAAGGCGAGAGTGTATGGGTGCTGTTGTGTTATAGCAGCTTTCCTGTTTTACCTTGAGTTTACTCTGCAACAACAGCAAGTGCTAGCTGCAAAGGCAACTGGCTTCTGAGTCGCTTTTGTGGGCCTCTCC